ATTGATTTGTTTAGAGCAGCAAGTTCTAAAATAAAAATAGCCATTATGATTGCCAACCTCCGTAGAGAGACGGCATTCTAAGAAGAAGGGGTGTAAAAAAAAGTTGTATTTTTTCATCGTATTTTGCAACACTCTGTGGAATTAATATTGCATTGTAAAACGTTGACACTTCTCAAAAACATTTGGCACAGTAATTCCTTCCAAATATACCTATAATGTATAATAAAACTCATCATAATCCAATCAACGATAGACTGGCGTAGACGATATTATACTGCGAATCAATAAACAAAAGTGGAGGTGGGTTGGACATGTTGCTAGAATGGAAGACGGAAGATGAACGAAGAGATTATTGGAGTGGAGACCAAGAGCCGACAAGCGAAGTCGAGGCAGACCACCCACCCGATGGACCGACGACCTAAGGAGGATAGAAACAAACTGGATTGCAGCAGGTAGAGATAGAGAGAACTGGAGACGTTTGGAGGAGGTCTATATCCAACAATGGTTGTGAAAATTCGGCTGGATGATGATGAATCCAATCAACGGCTCGGAAGAAATGTAGCTTCAAACTAAAAATATGTGATAACTAAATAATGAGTTATATAAAATGACTAAAATTTTTTCATTGTTTCTCTCAACATCTGCTTCATTTTATGCCAAACATTTTTTATAACGTTAAGGTCAGAGCTGTTTCTAGGTCGCTATCATTTTTTGCAGATTTGGCCGTGTGAAAAGCCAAATTTATGTTTGAATAATTTCTAATAGATGATACCTTCAATAAATTCAAAGCATCCCAAAGATGTTGATACACACCACCCAAATCATAACGCAAGGAAACATAATATAAAGGAATTTTACGGTGTGTCTTAGACCAGCGTTTCTTAGCCTTTTTCAATCCGTGGACCCCTAGAAAATCAAGCACAATTTTAAGGACTCCCTTAAGAGCACAAAAATAAATTTTGAATAATTTAAGTACTGGAAAAAAAAACATTTTTATGAAAATTAAAAATATTGTATTAATGTGATGGTTGGTGCTGCTTTTTGGCTACTAAATTTGTTATATTTGGGTTTATGTTTTTACTTAGTTGTAAATCTCAAATCGGATGCCAATTGCAGTTTGTTTTTGAGATATACAAGAGCAGAAAATCCCTTTTCGCAGAGGTATGTGGATGAGAAAAGCAGTAAATGTTTCAGTGCTTTTTCTGATATTTCTTTATAAATTCTTTTTATATTCACCCAAAATCTTGATAAGAAAGCTTCTTTGAAATGACGTTTAAAGCTGAATCGCATGATATTTCTATTAATTGATTTTCCTGTATCGTTCTCAAACCGATGATATCTGAATCATCTGCGTTGAAAGGGTCAGCTATCCAGTTTTTATTTCTGTCAGGTTCTGGAAAATAATCCCGAAAAGAAGACTGCAAACCTCGGAGGTGTTTAGTAGTTTCTTTTTCTACTTGCGTTGGCAACATTTCCCCACCAGAGGATTCCAAAGACGCTACCAGTGTAGGAAAATGGTTATTTTTTAATTGTACGATTAGTCCAAAGGTCAAGTTTTTTTTTCATCGTTTCTATTTTATCTTCAACTTGGAAGATGTTGTTATCTCTTTCTTGTAGACATATTTAAAGTGTACTAAACGAAAATGGTAGTATTCTGAAACAGATCTTCGCAATTTATGCCTACTTAGAACACAAACTCTCCTTTAATTAGAATAATAAACGATACTAAAATCAGAATCAAGATGCACTAGAAATAAACCAACTAAGACACTTAAATGTTACGAGGAAACACTCCCGAATGATGACTTACAATGTATAAACTTTGCAAATCATGATTTGGGATTTATACAATGTATATACATTGTAAATCATTATTTGAGAGTGCTCCTTGTAACATTTAACGTGTTTTGGTTTGTTTATTTCTAGTACAACTTGATTGTGATTTTAGTATAATCATATCAACATTATGTTTGTATTGGCTAGTATTTTTGTCAAAGCTATTTATTATAAATATATTATTTCTATTATACTTTTCAAATTAGTTATCAATAAATAACTGATTGCTGTTAATGTTAACAACGTTTATGGCTTTAGGACAAAAATGTTTTTTGTATACATATTTCCAATAGTGATTCATTGTACAATTGGTTGTCGTTTTCAAAGTGCCTTCCAAATATGTAAATTTTTGTTATTTAGTTTATATATATCTGTGTTGTATAATTTTATTCTGCACCGTCCTTTCTAAAAAATAATTGTATATTAAAACAATAATGATATTAAACCCCAAATTGATTTTTATTTCCTTCTATAAAGCTGTAAATACCATGTTAAACTCTTTGCAAAAATATCATGTTCAATGTTTACTGTTTGGCCTGATCGTGAAAATATGGGATCTACTATGACTAAATAAGTGAAATAGAAACTACAGGATGGTAATCACACGAAAAATAGGCAGCTTAATACAGATTAGAAAGCTAAAAAAATGTATATTTCCAAAAAAGATTTCTCAGCTTCTTTATTAGATACGAACACAAAATATTAGAATCGAACATAATTGGCACATATGAAACAAAAAATTCCAACTGGATAAAGAAAGGGCCCTTGCAAGGCAATTAACCCCTCCTTAGAAAAAAGAAGTGGAAACATTAATTTTGACATGCAAAAATATCGTCTTTATCATAATCAAGAAATCTCTTATATTCGATTTTTTTTCTAAACACCTTATAGCTTTCCTAGCTGCTTGTGAAGTTGGCTTTGGTATCTTTTGGTTTTCCTTTCATCAAAGATGGTGTGGAGAAGAAAACAGTTGATCTTTGCGAAGTCGTGAACTCCTTGTCTGAAAAGGTGCCTGAAGTAGTGGAGAATCGTACAAAAGTATCATCCAGTTATGATGGAACAACATTATGGTTTTAAGCAATAATTTCCGTATGAAGCTGCAGTGAATAAAGTTTCATTTTCCGATAATTCCCATGGACTGCTTCCAAAAAAGCTGATATCATCTGAATATCGTCTACTTGCTTCCCATTCCTCAGAGTCGTTTGATGAAGACTTTTGACGTATTATGTCTGTCATAGAATGTTTTTTTTAGTCAATATTATTTCTTGAAAAAGGCATGGATTTCCTGCCGAAACGTCGAAAAAATATATGAAAATGTTTTAGTATCAAATCAATTTTATAATATATAGATATATATATATATATATATATATATATATATTATATATATATATATATATATATATTGGCTTGGACGGCAGAGATGTTCGAATAATTGAAAATTTATATTGGAATCAAACAACATCAGTTTTAGTAGATGGTGTGGAATCACAGGCTTTCAATATTAAAAGAGGAGTACGGCAGGGATGCCCTTGTCACCCCTGCTTTTTAAGCATGCTATTTAGGGTGGCAGTAACTGAAAGGACATGGTACATGAAGAAGAAGAAGATCTTTTTAGTCAATAAAACAAATTCTACTTACTTTAGGAAGTAGATAGGAAATTAGAAATATTACATATGCTTTTATAGGTTATATCGTTGATTGAATAACCCAAATGATTATTCAATCAACGGTTATATATAAAACTATAATAGCCTATACATCGCACAGCTTCGTACATAGATGGCGTTAGTAGTACTGAATATAACGAAGAAAGCTAAACGACATAAATGACGCTAATTTTTATGACAATTATGAGAAATATGTCTGGGGACAGTACCCGAGGGTACCATTTCACCCGACTTACCCTATTGTATAGTCACTGAAGATGAAAATGAGGTAAAAGCTCCCAATTTTTTCGGATTGTATGGTTTTTCCTGAAAATTATTATATCGGCTCATCTGATTTTCCACTTCAAAAGTTATATTGTCTCGATGTGTACTTTTTGCTATTGGGGGTAAAAACTACCCTTGTTTAAAAAAAATCGAAATGTCCATATTTACGTATTTTAAAGATTCGATTTTGTTCAGATATGTTGGATAAAGTTCCTTTATGCTTTTTCTATCATATTGAATATGACGAATTGGTAAAATAGTACCGTTCGGGGTATTTCTCCATTCTATAGTTATGCTCTCCATTTTCAATAAAAAGGTCGACAATGCGAGGAATCGTTTATCTTTAGAACGACAAAGCAGTCTGCATATGTAGCTCATCTCCTTCGTATGTAAACCGAAGGGTTAATTATTGTCCATCCCTTACAATACTAAACGCAACTTTTAATACCCTGTGCACGGTTTGCAGTTTCTAGTTACACATCAACAACGTCTCTCATTCATAATCCTCGGTATACACTTCTTGCTTAGTTATTTAAAAGGTTTCACAATTTATTTTTTGGCCATTATACTTCTTGATAACTGATCGGCATGCATGGAGTGTGCCTTAGTCCCATTCCTTCTAGACATCGTGGTAATGTAGTTCGTTCTATCGCACTCTGAGCATGATGTTTCTTCGCTTTCTTAAGAAGTGTTCCTACTGTAGGCTGAACATTCTCCACATCGGTCTTGGTCCAATTAATTACATATATAAAATGTATTTAGTGTTTTAAAGAATTGTTGTCTCTTAAGATGTGCACACAATAACAGTTTTATCTTGCATAAATTCGTTCATCAGTCCTTGCGATGATCATTGTCACATGGTCACAATTCTTCCATGCCCCCAGTGAGCTTTCCCGGACGTGTTAAGAATGCACCACTTGTGTAGTTCGAAGTGTACACTAATATCACTCGAAAACAGTTTCTCCAGTTTTTAGAATCTGATCTGGGTGGTTTGCAGTGAAAGCTATTAATTTAAAATCATCCATACATATAGGTATTTCAGTTTCTGAGATCATGATCCTTTTGTGTATCGTAAAAATAAGATATTTAGGGCTGAAAGAAAGACTTATACGACTATCACAAACGTTTAATTTAGGAATGATCTGTATATACATTTAACAACAATATTTTTAACAATCTACTGCATCAACCACTACAAATGAAATTTGAACACGAAATTAATTCAAAACATTATGACACTCCTTTTAAAATATCTGGTCCCAAACCCATCTTCGAGGCTATTTTGAGTTGTGAAGACGCCGCATCTCTAAGTGAAAATAAATGCACCATTTCCATCTCCGACCTTGCAAGGGCGATGGCTTTGTTAAACAATTCTATTGCGAGTACCAAATTACCTCTGGAAACAAAAAATAAATTTATTTAAGAAATGAAAATCAATGAACTGAAATGAAAAAAATAAATAAATGAAAATAAATGTAATTAAGACACAAACACTAACTCTATTATAGTGTTGTCTATAGTAGAAAACTCTGTTCAATATACATCAGCTTACTTGGAATGCGAACTGACCGGTTTGTTCTAGAAGTAGAAAATAAGCTAAATATACAAAGAAAATCTTAAGTATTCTATAAAGTATGTACCTCCTAGAAACAATACATTGGCTGACAGGACCCTTCTTACAGTAGCGATCTTGGACAGTAAAAAAAATGTAAGTGGATGTGGGGTAATATAGAAGAATCTCACTAATCCGGCACACCATTAAAAACCAGAGGGTGCAGGATTAGTGGAATGTTCGAATTATTGGATTGTACCAAAAAAATTCACAAAAAATAAAATAAAGTATTTATTCATAAAAGGAATAGCTACACGTATGTATTTGTGATTCGAATTGAATTGAGTATATTATATTCTTATCAGTGTTGGATCAGATAACAAAGAAACTACAGGAAACAAAGAAACAGTCCTTGGTGCTTAATGTATGCTGATGATGTAGAGTTAGTAAGAAATATTGAAATATGTTAAGAACAAAAACTGGAACAATGAAGAGAAGATAATTAAGAACAAGGTTTAAAGCATGATAGTAAAAAAATAATAGTCCTTTTCTTGACCTTGGGAAGAAATACAGAAGGCATAAAAATGTAGAATTATAAAATTACAGATTTACAAAAAGCGCATACCCAAGAATAGTTGTGTATACAATAAAAATAATAATCAATTACTTCTTCTTCTTTTTATATAGACATGACTCAGTATGTTTTTCAATGTGCCTTCAGTAAGTTGTCGTTTTATCGTTTTCGTGGTCTTCCTACTGATCGTCTTCCTATTGGGGAACCGTCTGTTTGACGTCTTTACTACTATATTTGTTGTCGTTCGGCTTATCTCAGCTGATCGTTCCATTCTACTCTTCTATTTCTTACCCAGTTCTTGATGTTCTCCACCTTGCACCTACGTCATATATCTGTTCTTCTAGCTCTCTCCCATATTGTCTTACCATCAATTTTTTTAAGTGTTTTCATCTCTGCTGTTTCTAAAATTCTTTTTGTCCTCTTAGAAGTTGTGTTCCATCTGTTTTGAGAAGCTCTGTCAGTGTTCCCTTATTATTCCTTATTATTTGTCTAACTAGAGTATTCATTTTATTTCTGATTCGTTACATGGTGGTCGTATGCCTGTTGTGTTCTGTATTGTAAAAGGCTTTTCTCTTTTCTTCACTTTCTCTCTAAACCATGTCACTTTCTCTCTAAACAAAACATTGCCGCATCCACCAACAAGTTATTAGCGGCGTTACTAAGCAAATAAAACATTAAATTTTATACAAAATATTGATTGACCTTAGGTAATTTAATAAAGTTTTTTACGGGACAGTTTTCTCCTAATAAATCTGGTAGAGTATTTGAGGGACCCTAGCGGAAAAGGGGTATAAGTGACATTTTTGTAAATATTGAGGTAAATGCACTGCGAACTGGAAATATTTCATTCTATTTGGTGGTAAAGAGATCTAAGCGATAAATCTAACAGGTGCTGCTTTCTAGCGACAAGTTACTTAACCTCCAAGCCAACCATGAGTAGGGCTTGGAGGAGAAGAGATACAAGTTCGCTTGTACCCCTGTTCCACTGTGTCAGACTGTTAGTTGAGTTTGTTATTATTTCGGATGGGTAGTGGAATAGCTCTTCTAAAGCAATATTACCTTGTCATTAAAGTATTACTTTATTGTAAACTGCAGTGTTTTACGTTATTATTAAATACAGTGCTTTTAAGAAGAGTTCGTGCTGTTTGTTTGAAGCTTTGAACGAGATGAGCCTATAAAAAGAAAAAATCTAAATGCAGTTAGCAACAAAGAGGTGTCATGTGTTTATAATCTGGGAGGATTTAGAGTATGTAAAGAGTTTATAATGAAAACTCTTGATATCTCCAACAAACGTTTACAATATGTAGTTGAAAGCAAAAAAAAAGCCTCCTCGGGCGTGGCATGCATAGATAAAAGAGGAAAAAATTCACCCCCAAACAAAATTTCTGAAAGGGAAAAACCAAAAACTATGCCAACCTCCCAATGTGTCAACTTCTAAAGCATACTATCTAAGGCAATTGTGGACTTATAACTTAGGGGTCCATAACCTACAGAATGGAACGACCCACTTCTTTATGTGGCACGAAGGTCAGGCGTCACGTGGATGTCAGGAAATATCATCTTGTCTTCCTAAAATATATCAGAAGCCTTCCCCATCTGTAAAACACATAACTGCATTTAGCGACAATTCTGGAGGTCAAAACAAGAGTCATCTGACAGTCAAAATTTGGCTTTACATTGTCAGAAACACTAATATTCAAACAGTGGATTATCGATTTTTTATAAGTGGCCATTCTTATAATGAGTGTGACCAAAATTTTGGTTTAATAGAGTTAAAAAAGAAAAGAACCAAAAAGGACCTGTATGTACCACAACATTGGATGGAACTGGTAACTTCTACAAGTAGAAAGTTCTTTACAGTACAGATGGAAAATGACGATTTTTTAGATTTTCAAACACTTGCGCCATACTTCAAGAAGAAGGTAAGTGGAATACAGAGTATGCAATGGTTACATTTTCAGCAGGACAAACCTTTAACCCTGTTTTACAAGAAATCAGCTGGAGGTAGCATGGAAGAGTTTAGTGAGCTATCTATGAAATCCACTCGATCTGGCAAAAACCCTGTCCTTCTGCCAGATCTCTTACCAGTACCGATTGACAGAAGGCCTCTAATTAAGCAGGCCAAGTATTCAAATCTGCAACAGCTGCTTAGCTACGTACCTCCAATTTACCATAAATTTTTTCACAAATCTGCGACATGATGGTCAACAAGCTTAGAGAACTTATACACTCAGAAGAAGCGGAAGTCGAAAATAACGAGTTGGAACATCATTACGACACTGATGCCGATGAATTATAAATCAATTATGTATTAGTGTTATGGTAAAGAATAAATTTAAACAAAAACTTTATAGTATTTTTAAATTTGTTTTGTCTTTATGTTACAATTCTTAGAAGTAAAGGGGTACAAGTGCTACTTAGTAGCCTAAAAATGGCTCCAAAATGAGTAATGTTGATAAAATCATGTTTTTTTGTTACAATTAAGAATAATAATGCCTACAGTTACTAAACCGGAGAAGAAAATCTATCATTAAGAAATCGTGGCAATTACAGTGAAAGCTGAACTTTGAACCGCGTTTACTCGAAATTTACTTTTTGTCACTTATACCCCTTTTCCTCTAGGGTCCTCATTTGGTATATTGTTTATTAAACGTTCTCTTGTTTTCTCTTGTTTTCTTTTTTGATATGTTAGTGTTCGTTACTTTCCTCTCTCTAAGTGATTATGTTGCTACGTTAATTATGTTATTTTTGAGTTTTTCCAGCTTTCCTCGATGTTATCGTTTTCTAATATTTCATTCCCGGCGATCTTTTCTGATATTCTTTTTCTTCTTCGACTTTGATTTTTGTTTGTGTTGGCTCCGCTCTCTTGGGTGGGAAGTATTTCAGGATGATTCTTATTGTACCTAGTATTAGGCTATGGTTGCTACCTACATCTGCTGAGTTGAGGCATCTTACGTCGATTATTTCCGATGGATGTATATCTCTGTTGGTTATATAACATAATCTATCATAGATCTTTGTCCACGGGTGTTATTAAATGTATATTTGTGTAGGTCTTTGTGATAAAAAATGTGTTGTTTATTCTTAGTTATTAGTAATCAATTACTAAAGTATATATTTGAAAAATATTCCAAAACAATATAGAGATACGTTGGATTTAAATAAAAATTTAATGTGTAGTTATATGAGTTATAATTTATGATTTGATGAATTTATAATTTAGAACATGTTATGAACGTATAAAGAATAAACGTTGTCTCAAGTCCGCGAAGAAGTCTCTAAGGGCATTCTTTAACTCATTGATGGTTTGTGGTGTCCGTTTAAAAACGGCAGTTTTAGCCATGCCCCAAATGTATGCATCTGGAGATGTTAAGTCTGGAGAATGTGCAGGAGTAAATCGTGAAATAAATTTGTTTGAAAAAGTCCCTGAAGAAATTGACGAACTGCGACAGCAGTATGGCAAGTTGCCCCATCCTGCTGGAAAAATTGGTCTCGAAATGCCAAATTACATGCACGGCAAAATTGACGTAGATCGGGGATAAAGCGTGTTAAAATTTGTATGTACCTCTGTTGATTAAGTGTGACTGACTAACATTTTCTTCAATAAAGTATGGACCAATGATTCCGTGTCCCGAAACTGCACACCAGACACTCACTTTTGTGCTATGTAAAGGAACTTCATCTGGTCTGGCAAAGCCCAGAAATTGATTTGTGCGACGATTTACATGGCTTGACAAATGAAAATGTGCTTCGTCTGAAAACCATACATTTTTCAAAAATTCGTGATTTTCATACTGTAATGCAAGAATTCCAGCACAATATTCCACTCTACTGTGATAATCCCTGGGATGTAATTATTGATGTACCTGAATCAAATACGAAAATGCACCCAGCTCCTTAAGGATTCTTTGCAAGGAACTTCGTTTTAAGCCAAGATGCAACGCTGTTCTTGTCTGGCTAGCTTTCGGATTTTCCGAAATTCGCTCAAAAACACGTTCATGGTTATCGTTGTTGTTAACTGTCCTGGGACGCCCTGAGTTTCTTTGTCGTTGGTACAATACATTACCCGTATTAATAAACTTTTCAACAACCTTCAAAATTTAAGCATTATTTGGAGAATGTTTATTAAACCGTTGTGTGAATTGATCACACACGTATTGCAGACTTGCACTATTACGTCGGCAGATTCCGTATGAGCGAAAATAATGCTCCACAAGAAACACTTTCTACTCTGTACTTAACACCATTTTTAACAATTAGGCCTCAATAATTATATGTTTAAGTTTTACTTGACAGGTCTATACTTGTTAATTTGAATATGACAGCGCGCACAGAGTTTCAGTTTCAGTACTGTTTATTTTGGGCAATATTGTAAAAGAAAACCTAAGTAAATTATAAATAAAATAATTATTTGAAGATACTAAATATATCTTACCTTTGTACTTCTACAGTTCCAAGCGTTTCATACGCAAACTCAGACTTATCATCAACTTTTATAGCCTCCTTCATGAGGTCAACGGCATTTTCAATTTCACCCTTCCACTGTAACAACAAAAGCCCCCTATGGACGTAAATAGAAGCATTATGCGGATCAATTTCCATGGCAGTTTGATATAGTTTCTCGGCTTCGTGGAACTCTTGTTTTTCGGTTTTCACTTGTGCGAATAAAACGTAGGTTTCCGCACAATTCGGGAAACGCTCGATAGCCATACGGAAATCGTGCATTGTTTGCATGAGAAGAGTTACGTCTTTAACTTGCATGGCATAACGATAATCTGCATAACATTTTTGTACGACAGCGACTGCAAAATCGGAATTTAGAGATACCGCCTTTTCAAAGTCTTTTCTGGCATCTTCTATTTGCTCCATTAATAGTTTCACTTGACCCCTGTGATGGAATACATCTAAAAATGATGTAAAATGATTATATTATGACATTGATTAAATTAATACGGTGAATATAGTTAAAAGTAGAAATAAAATATACAGTTAAGGTTTGTTTTCGTTATAGCGTACCACCATTCGCAGATTTGCATATTTGTACCTCTTGGCGTCCTCAGAGCGCATTCATGGTAAGCTCTAACGAAATAAAACCTTAACTGTCTATTTTAGGTTTATTTTACATTTACTCTAGTTTGGAGCATTAGGAAATAGTTTTCACGAAGGGATTTCTGCCTAGAGGAATTGGTATGACGTAGATACAAATTATAAATCCTAATCCCAGTGCATTACGGTGCATTCGTCGTCTGTTTTGTTTTGCAACGTGTAGAAAACACAGATTTGAGCTAAATCCTGAATTTGATTTTCGATTTATAGTCAAAATTAGTCAAATACATATATGGAAGTATCGATATATGTGGGAGATACCTTTGTTCCGCAAGTGCTAAACACAACTGAGTAAAAAAAAGTTGCTCTGAGTGTCCACTTTTACAACTTCGATTATAATAGAATAAATGTAAATAGTAATAACATTACTAATAATTTTATTCAATGTTAAATAGGAAGTTATCTGTACTGCACATTGTTCTAAGATTTAAAAAAACCTTAAGACATATCTAGGTCTGACATTAAAATTCATCTGTTGGTCAATCCAAACCCTCCTTAATGTTATACGTTTTTGAAGATTCTAAAAGATACATGAGAGATAGCTGATGACAAATCCTTGAAGATTCTGCTTTGTTTTTCTTAAACAAACATCTTAGCATTAATTTTTTGCCTATAAAACGTTTCTTATACATTTTAGATAAAAATGGTTCGAATAAAAGTTGTAGATCTTAAAAAGTTCTTTACTTTGCTAGTTCCGAAATTAAAATACATTACCATTGACCGAGATAATTGCAAAAAACCCTTATTTTTGCAGGAATTTATAAATGTTAATAACTTTAATAAAATTACTTTCTGACTAATAACATGTAACATAACTACATACTTGAAATTATGGCAATGAATGAGTTATTAGGTTGGCGACCCGAAGGGAGGCAGTGTGCCCAGGAGCAAACAAGAAGATAAGGCAGAATGGGAAGGGACGAGATTGAACATAAACAGGGAGTAACAGAATGAGAGAAGAATTCAGTGAGGAAGTGCTAGAATGCGTGAGAATTGTGCGAGAATGAGAGATCGTGTGAACCTTGAAAAACTTGTACAAGATTTTTTACGTGAAATCGATGATTTTTGGATAATCGATAAAGAAAGTTACTTTGAGATTTTAGAGGCAATCATAACCACATCTGCAGTCAAGCACATGGCACAATGTATATTGGATGAACATTCGTAAGTACTGCAGAAAACGATCAGGAACCAGCTCAGAACCATATCAAACTTCCTTACTGGATATGCGCCAGTCAAAGGATATCTTCATACAGTGAGGCTGTTTCATGGAAACTTAATCTGTAATTTATCTGGCTTAAAATCTGAAACAGTTAACCTTCACGACTTCGAGGCATTCTATCGGAGGTGGCAAACACTTTTTTGAGACATCCGTTCAGCATCGCCTTTGATAAGGTTGCAGAGGAATCGCACCAAGAAAAAATAATTCCGGGTCCCTTTACGTATATATACTATCAATTAGATAATTTTTATAACAATTAGCTTGAATAAATGACTATTATTTATTTTTATTATGCATTTTAAAATAAATAAAATAATTAGATCCCCTTCTTCAGCGGATTACAGAATTTGTTAGTGGCCGTACGCAGACAGTTAACTTGGGAAGTGACACTTCAATTGAAATAACAGTTCCATCAGGCTGTTTCTGGTTGATTTAGTACAACAAATCAAAAATTGTAGTGTTCTTATGTTTGCTGACGATGTAAAACTGTTTAGAAAAATTCAATCCTGGAATGATGCTGTTATATTACAGGAATATCTTAAATTGTTTTATGATTGGTGCACTTTAAACAAAATGTCACTCAATACAAACAAATGTCATAAAATGACATTCTCGAGGCAAAGAAATCCAATTACATTTGTTTACTACATAAATAACTTGCCATTAGCCTCGAAAAATGAAGTATTAGATTTGGGAATTTGGTTAGACACCAAACTGTCATTCTCAAGCCACATTAACCAAGTAACAAACAGAGCGATGAAAGTGCTGGGATTTATCCAACGCACATCTGTGGATCTGTCTTTATTTACATTTAAAAGACTTTATTGTGGTCTCGTTAGGCCCATTCTTGAGTTTGGATCAGTTGTATGGTCCCCACCATACCACTGTTACATTCAACAGATTGAAAGAGTCCAGAATAAATTTTTGAGGGTAGCAGCCTATAAGAGTGGATACAGGAGAGAGGAATACGACTATCAGTGGGTAAGAGATAGTCTTAACTTACCAACACTTGAGTCAAGGAGGACATTGTTGGATTTATGTTTCTTACACAAAGTTATCAATGCTTTTATAGATTGTCCTCAACTCTTATCGCTTGTTAGTCTTAAAGTTCCTAGTAGAAGCAACAGACAATCAGAAATCTTTTCGGTGCCATTTCACCACACTAATTATGGTATCAATGAACCAACTACACGATTGGTCCGGAGTGCTAATAGCTTGCCAAGACAAATAGATATTTTTGACTCCAAAATTAGTTTGTTTAAAAAACAACTAAAAAATATCTTACAATAAGTTGGTTCTACATCTGTATTATTCTTATATGTTTGTATTATTCTGAGGTGTTTGTTATTTTAATAATTTATTGTTGTTAAGGTGTAACTTTTTAAAACTTGTGATTGTTATTTTAATAATATATTGTTTTTAAGATGTAACTTTGTTGTAAGTAAAAATTGTAAGTAAATGGATGCCGTATATAAATAAATAAATAAAATAAATAAAAATATAATACAACTTCTCTTTTAAAGAACTTGTTTACTATTAATACAAGATATATGTATATTAAAAATGATCAGAAATTGATTTTAACAATACTGTAATTAATTTTCCTGAAATGATTAAAATAAAAATAGAATGTTGTCATAAACATGACAATAATATATTGTTTTTCAGATATGATTAATATTACGGCATGTTTCAGATATGCATTTATATTTAAATATTTTTACTTTTTATATTATGATACATTTTTATATACCCGATATATCTATATAACTGATAACTTTTAATTACCCGATACTTCTGGACCTAATTCGGCAGCTTTTTCAAAGTCAGCAAGGCAATCCTGGATTTTTTCTGTCTGCATGTAAATTGAAGACCTCTTTATTAGAGAATTTACCTTGATGAGAAGATCTGCTTCTTTAGAGTCTATTATAAATGTAAGGTCTTCTAAAGCCTCCTTGAACTGACCAGTGAGGAAATAAAATGATGCTCTAAGGGATAAGGCTTCAAATTTGTACTGTGATTCAGACTCACTAAGATTTAGTTCTTCTGTGCATGCGGATATAACTTCATCAAACCTTTCAGTAGCAAAAGCTAATTTTGCCTTCAGAAAACCTGAAATACAATAATTAAAAGCTGTTGTTGAAGATAAATTTTAATATATACAAGTTATGTCATAAATGTATCTGACATGTCTGTAAAGTTAGTATTATCCATTTTATAATGCTGAATTCAGACCAACATTATAATGTATTGTTAATTTATTACGGAAAGAAAAAATTTATTGCTGTAGCCGTTTCTGAGAAACAGTGAGTATGCTAACTTTAGAGCAAAAAAAATCAGTACAGTTGTTCCAATACCAAAAGTTAATAATACTATTACGGCGGATGAATTTAGACCTACAAATATACTTCCGCCCATTGAGAAATTATTAGATTTGTAGTATATGATCAAGTCATGGATCACATTGATAAAAATGAAATCTTAATGAATACTCAGTCAGGTTTTCATAAAAAGTATTCATGTGAAACTGCACTGCAACTTTGACTTTGTAAATTCAGGTCTGAATTGGACAATGATAATTATGTAGTAGTAGTATTCCTTGATTTAAAAAGAGTGTTTGAAACTATTGATCGTAATATACTTCTCTTTAAATTAGAAGGCTATGGTATTGGAGGAAATTTTCTTGAATGGTTTAAAGATTACTTACTGGATAGAAAGCAACAAGTGAGGATTGATGATATTACTTCTTCTGCAATTAGTGTTAATATTTGGGTACCTCAAGATAGTGTCTTAGGACTCCTTTTGTTTATATTGTATTTAAATTATATAAACTTATTTGTTAAATGTGATTTCTTTAATTTGTATGCAGATGACACCCTACTTGCATGTTTTGATTCAAACTTAGAAAATGCTGTATCTAAAATGAATTCAGCATTGCAGTCTGTTAATAAATATTTAAAGATCAACAAACTAAAGAATATCTAAAAATTTGTCAACTGCAACTAAAATTACAGTTTTTAATGCAATTATTCAACCTCACTTCGATTTTTGCTAGTCAGTTATTTTTCTCTTCAATTTAAATCAATCTGCCCAGTAGCAAAAATTACAAAATCGTGGAGTGAGAATCATTCTTGGTGGAAACAGATATACACCTATAGCAACAATGCTTAGCATGCTGCAGCGGGTTTTAGTTAGCTGCATAGCTGCATCACCAATTCTTTTCATACATATTTACTATATCTTTATAATTATTGTATCACTAGACAATACTTGTAATACTTTGTGTATCTATTAAATTGGGTGGTATCCCGTTAATAAATAAATAAATAATTATGTGTTAGGAGGGATTCCAAATTCCTTGGCAGTCTCAGATTTTTTTCGTCCCATTTTATACTTCTTTAATTGCCACTATTTTTCCCATAATATCAAAGTTTTGTATGTTTTGTTTGAAGTTTATTGAAGGGTGGGGAGAATTTATGGCCAGTGCAATGCACAATGGTCTTGAATGTCTTGAAACAAGTGGCACGTGAGGAAAGAATACTACATCTTTTCGTGGAAATTTACAGCATGAAATTGGCATTTTAGCTTGTAGAGAAGTTCGAATTATCCAAAATTTAATTCGAAATATTCAAGACTTTTTACCATTACTCATATAGGAAATGCTAGGGACCAGAATAAAAATTCGAATTAAAGAAGATTTGAATTAGAGAAGTTCAAATTAAGCAGGTTCCACTGTACAATGTTTCATTTGTTCAGGATTAATTGGTTCAAAAACAAATCTAGCACAAAGGCCTTTAGAAATTACTAAATTGTAAAATAAACAAATAAGCAAAATAAAGTCTTAAATATCTGAAACTGCAGTCTATTTGACTCTTACTTGTGATAGAAAAAGACAGGACATAGAATATATGATGTAGACATACATAACACATTTATTCTGATAGCAGGTAACAGATTGGAAATATGTAAGTAATATTATCATAGATCCACAACCAATTGGTTCATTTAATAGTACTATTAAGAATACAGTATACATCAATCTAGCAATAACTTACCTTTCAAATCACCTAGTCCTAGTGGCTCAGTTGTTTCTTGTAACTTTTGAATACAGGATCCTCAGAGAATGAAGAAAAATATGTCTTAATAAAACTACGTGAAGGTATTACAGGTATTCTATTTTTGATAGCTTCTGCTGCATTTTGTTTACCCAATTCCTTTAATACTCTATCAGCCATAAGCATGGTAGCTTGATTTTGAAAATTTTGTAATAAGCACACTGTTGTAATGTCATCTAATGCATTGACCCAGTCTTTAAGCATTTCCTCAGCTTTGGCCCTTCTGAAAAGTGCTTTTTCATATCGATTATTAAGTTCAATCGCTTTTGTGCAATCTGATATTACTGAACTCCATTTTTTTAGCTGTTCGTATGCAGCAGCTCGGTTTTGATAGTAGGTAGCAAGATCTAATTTGTGTTCTTCCGGTATTGTTTCTATTGCGTTATTATAACAGGCAATGGCCTCATCATATTTGCCTCTTTTAAAAAATTCGTTACCTTGTGTCTTAAACTTTTGTGCTTCTTGAAACGGACTATTTTCCTTATCATTTTCAATTGCAGCATTAAGTGTCTGCAACGTTTCCTTCTTGCTGGTTCTTAAATACCAATAAGCTAAACCCAAAGCACCGGCTGCTCCGAGACCAAAAGCAATTTGCCATTTTAATGATGGCATTATTCTTGATTTTATAAGTTAATCATATAAATATATGATCATAACTAAATGTGTGACAGACTTTTCAGGGGTTCAAAAACTACAAGTGAGGTTAAGATAAATAAGGCAATTTTGGTGACAACTCGAACATTGATGACATCACAAGGTCACAAGAGTTTGTTTTGTTGAAACACTTTATTTTTTCAAGACTTTAAATATGCCTAATAACCATAACGTGTTTGTTTTGTGGTACCATTTGTTTTGACACATACCATATGATCAAAGTGTCAAATTTTGAAAAGGTAATTGATAAGTTTCCCATACATATCATTTATTTAAAGAACTCTTGTAGATAAATTAGAATGGAAAAATTGCACCCAAAAAAGTCGTATATTTATATTAACACAAATTACGGAATTGAACAGAATGTGTTAATTCCTTGCGACGATCCTGTAAGTGAATTAGTGTACATTTTGATGATCAAACATAATCTTCCAGTTTATGTTGTAAACGAATTAACTGAAGATCTTGAACATTTCATTAAAGAAAGAAGTACAGAATATTTTAATGATGAAACCACAAACTTAATCAACGACACACGAGAAAACAAAATAAATCTGGAAGAAATTACTAAAGAATGGGAGAGAGTTTTAAAAGAAGAAATGGCTGAATATGGTGAACGACGGTGCGCTTCAGATGATGAGCTATTCGCAACAGCTTATCACAAAATGGTTCATTCTCCAGCGTTAGAAACTATGCTTCAACTAGAACATATGTATTCAAAAACTGTTAGACAAAAGACAGAAGAAAAAAAGATATCAGTTCAGGAATTATCTGAGCAGCAGAGTCAAGAAATGAATAATGCTGTTGATAGGTTAGAAAAAGATATGACAGAAACAAAAATCAATGAATTAGTAGCAAGACATTATGAAACACATGCTTTACTTCAGGCAAAGTTAAATAGTGAACTAGATACCTTAAAGGAAGCACAGAGGAGGGAATATAGAGAGTGGTTGATGCAAATGCTTGAACAAAACCAAACAAATAATTCCTTGCCAACACCTAACTCTCCTCTAACACCTACTGAAATGCCAATTTTGTCTAATAATGTAGAACGAGAACAAGATGTGCCCATTTTAGAAGAAAGTTTTACTATTCATTTAGGTTCCCAATTAAAACAGATGCATAATATTAGAATTTTATCAGCAAATGTAATGGATCTGTGTGCAGTTGAAGATAGTAAACAGTCTTCTGAGCCCAAACCACAATTACTACAGACAGCACTAGCACTTTATTCTAATGATCTATCGGGACTTGTTTTATTAGCGGATAATAAAATTGGTTCAAGATGGACACAAGAGTTTCAAGAAATCTGTCAAAAGTCCACAGAATTTCATTTTCCCCATATAGAAGACCAGCTAGATAAGATATCAAATATAGCTCAGAAATATTTAAAAAGTGACCATAAGAGCGAAAGTCGAAATTCTAATAGTGAATTACTTCAGCCTGGTGATTTTTACATTACAAGACACTCTAATTTGGCTCAAGTTCATGTTATTTTTCACATGGTGTCAGATGATAGTCTAAGAGGTAATGATATAAATAGTAGACACCCAGTGGTACTTGGTTTAAGAAATATTCTTAAAACTGCATGTTCTAATGACGTCACTTCTCTTACAATTCCTTTATTATTACAATATGAGATGACTGAAGATATGACAATTTCATGGTGTGAAAAACGTGCAGAACTGGTTTTTAAATGCGTGAAAGGGTTTATGATAGAAATGGCCTCCTGGGGTGGGTCAGATCTAAAAAATTTGCAGTTTATGGTACCTCAAGGCATATCCAGTCAAGTATTTCAGTCACTTACAGAGATGCTTCCTAGAATTTTTAAAGTTTCTAATCCCAAAGTTCTACAATAGGTAACATGTTTGTAAATATAACTTGTTAAAGGATTTTAGTCATTTTTTACAGTTAGTTTATTAAGAAGCAATGCCAACTATTTGTATTAGCTCATCATCATATTAATATAGTGAAAGTATTTACAGTAAAGATCAAAGGGCACCTATACAGGCTTTTAAAACCTAATTCTGCAGACAGTGAGAGGCAATCTCAGATAGAATGTTTTAAATATATTTTTTTTTACCAGAGTTTTCCACTTAAGCAAAGATATTTACACTGTACTTTCTTTAAAAACAAAAAGACAAATCTGTCATTCACTGAAATGGCTCTGGTTCATGAAGTGATATTATTTACCTAATTTCATTGATGTATTATTCCACATTTTTGTATTTATATATATAATATTCCATATAATATTTATTTTACATTCTATGTTAAGCAATTATTATACATATAAAAACATTTTAGATAAACAGCCTTTTATTCAGTTCTAAATTTCAGGTTGTACAACTAAATCAAAAGTTTTAATAAATCTTATTTACCACTTCTCAAAATATTACAATATTGAAAATAATTTTTAAAATTGTTCATTTCAAACTTAATAATAATCCTTGATAAGAAAGCTATGCTTTCAAAAGGATACATAGGTTATTTAGATCTGTTTTAGAATTTCTGTGTAAACTTATCATGAAGTGGACTTTTCAATTGATTTACTACATGTCTAACTTCACATTTAAGGATTTTTGGATCAATAACCTATAATTCATTCCGTGTTGTTCATATAATTATTTATACATTAGTCAATAAAAAAATCTCCACGTAATTCTTCAGTTCTTTAATGTCCAATATCATCTGTGGATGTCTGTCTCTCCAAGGATGGTAAAGCTGTTTTTCTGTATTCCCCCGTTATTTATATTACTTTTTAATGAAAGTTTAACTCAATCATGTAGTTGGTGAAGTCTTTCTTCACCATCCCTTTACCTTTAGCTTTGCTTATTAATGTCTTTATTCTATGAGTCAGTGTTTTATATTCATTCTTTTGATTTGTAACAACTGGACGTTCATTCAGAAAGTCCAGAATTTCATCAGTCATACATGGATTTATCCTTTGCCGCTTTTGTTTCCAGAGGACATTTTTAGTGACTGTTTGTACATTTCTTTTAAGCGTATCTCAGTCATTGAATGTATTTCGTTGGCTGGGATTGTTCTGGCGAAGATTCTCTATTTCTGCCTTCATTTTTTCTTGTATAAATGGGCATCTCATGTTAAGAATATTGTATTTTCGACTTGTACTTCTTTCTGTCAATAATTTGCAATGAAAACTAAAGTTATAGTCTAAGATGCCACAGCATGATCAAGACATTCATAACGTAGTTAATGATTTTATAAAGCACCTTTAAAACGCGTTTTGATTTTTATCGATAGGACAATCTGATCAAAAGATATCGAATTTTTACCGTCAAGTTGATACAAATTATATTTAAACCTGATTTCTCGAGCGTAACTGACATTAAAAATTGCCGGTCGCTTCAAGCGTTGTTTGAGAGATCGGTTCATTATACTATTCTAGTGATGAGAAGGTCATGAATGAACCGTTCACAAAGATCTGATCTCTTCGAAGACCCATGATTGATAAAATCACATTCTGTGACCCCACCGTTCAAATGACCCTATGAATGACGCTGTCTAGTGTTTACGAAAGAACTGTGTGATCGCGACACGTTGCTCGGTCACATTAATGCATGAACCGCGAACCGCAAAGGATAGTTCAAAACACTGATTTAAGTTTCCCAGAATGGCGAAACCCTTACGCTGCAAAACTGTAATATTATATACATTCGAATTGTCGAGTTAATAGTCCCGTAGTCTGTTCTGTTTATAAATTTGTAGGAAATAAAATCCATTTTAATTGTTGCATTATCATTCATTCATGAACATAACAATGTGGAATTTGTAATTTTACTTAACTTTTTAAAGTATTTTTTTTTTTATATTTTAATGATTTCTGAAGATGATTTAAGAAATACAAATCTTAATTTCAGCCTTAAACTATATTTCATTCTTAAATTTATAGTAACAATATCGAATTCTACACGTAAACAACAATATAATTAAAGTCGTTCTAATGAAAGAATCTCTATGAACGGGTCCTGCATTATCATTAATTCATATACTCTCAGAAAGATTCATAAACATATCAATATTAAACTCTACATACTTGACCTTCACACAACAAAATTTAATTAGTCGTTCACATGAATGTATCTTTATGAACAGATCATTTTAATGAATGACCTGGAAGACCCGGGTCACCGAAATGAACCAGGTCTTCCCATCACTACATTCTACACAAAATGTGCTAATACACATTTTTGTTCAAAATTATCTCAGCTACATTTTTTACTTGAAGCATTTTATTCTATGTTGTGCAGTTTCTTGGTAATTCGATTTTTTCTGATCACCCTATGATTGGGAGGGGAGGCAGGAGTGGTAAATTACTTTGCATCTTTTTTGGAGTCCCAAAATTGACATTCTCAGCAAAATTCAGCTTGTTTGTATGATTTTTTAAGTCAAATCTCTGACTACTGGACTAACACACTGGATTTGAAATAAGAATACCTATAAATAATTTAGAAATATAATTAAAACTATATAACAATTAACTACATAAATTGAATTATTTCGTACATAGGTATTATATTTTATAATTAAGTATATAATATATTAAAATCTACACACTGTTGTAATTATATATTATTAATGAAATATATTATTTCTTAAAATGTTTTTGAACTATTTTCAATACTTTTAATGTATCTTCAGTAGACGAAATAATTTTATCGGCATAAGTTTCAGCAGTACAGTTAGCAATTCTAAATAAAGCTGCATTCCCTTTCAAAGCCCTCATGGCATCTTCGTCAGTTGTATCATCACCGACAAATATCACTTTGGTCTCTTTGTTCCAGTCCTTTCCGTATTTCTTTTCTAACAGCAAGAGCGCCACGCTTCCTTTATTCCAATCAACTTTTGGTCTTGCTTCTACAGCCATATGCGCCTTTGACGATTTAAAATTTGCTGCCTCTATAATTTTGGTAGCTTCCTTTTCCATTTCTTCTCTTAAGTGTGCTGGTGCTCTCTAAAATGAAAAGTTAAACTGGCACCTTTATTTTCTATCCAAGCACCTTCCCTTACCAGTTTTTCTTGTAACTTGGCTATTAATTCTTTAACTTGGTCCTCAAAATTAGATGGAAGTTGGTGGTCATATTTAGAGCCATCTGGATAAATGACCTCTAGTCCTATAACAATTAAATATAATAATATTGGAACACCTGTTGTATTTGTATTATATTTCTATGGATATATTATACTAAAGATGGAACAATGAAACATAGATACATCTATAATAATAATAATAATAATAATCTTTATTAATAGCACATGGCTAGAAAAATATACATGTAGATACATCAATTTATACCCTTAAAATTAAATCACAATGCTTTGCTTAACATATATCTTACATAAATTTTTTAAATTGAGCTAAGTTTCCAGAAGCCTTAATGTTTTCCGGTAATTCATTGTATTGCTTTAATCCCCTATAAAAAAGATTGTTCTGACCAAAATTAGTGTTGACCCTATTCAGATAAAAGTTATTTCTAGAACGTGTGTTGTGTTCATGTACATCTCGAACAAAGGTACAATTATTACACAAATGCACAGGTATCAGACCATTTAACATTTTATAAACAAAAATCATACTATTACATACAATTGTCTGTCTTACACTTAAAACATTTGCCATTGTTAGCATGTCAGTTCTACTAGTGTATACACTACATCCTAATATTATCCTTAAGCTTTATTTTGTTTTTTCTGCAGTACGTTCATTTGAGAAGCATTCATTAAAAACAGCAATGTAGAGCAAAAATAGAGATGGGGAGCAATAATCGATTTATATATGGTCAACCTAGACCAGCAACTTAAATTTTTTGACATTCTTCCCAATGCATAGATTTTTTTTGCTATTTTGTTTGTAACAAACTTAAAATGTTCAACAAAACTTAATTTTCATCTATAATACATCCCAAATACTTATACTGAACCACTCTCTCCAAAGCAATATTATTAATTTTTACATCTTTTATTATGTTATTTAATTTAAAATTTTTATTCTTTATAATCATCATTTTTGTTTTAGTTACATTAAGACTTTAAGGAATTATTATCGAGCCATTTTAATATATTACATATCTCTTCATTTATTATATCGATTATTTCATCTACCTTATCCCCTATTGCATATATCACAGTATCATCGGCAAACAACTGTACCTTACACTTTTTAACAACATCAACAATATCATTTATATACAGTATGAAAAGAGTAGGACCTAACACAGTTCCCTGTGGCACACCATACAGAGACTTCTGAGCCGATGAAATGGCACCATATTTTGTCACTTGTGTTCTATCAGTCAAATATTCTTGAAACCACTTTATAATTTTTTCACAAAGCCATACCTTTCCATCTTTCTCAATAGCAGTTGTCTGTTTATGGTTTCAAATGCACGTTTAAAGTCTAAGAAAACCACACCAATCATTTTCCCGCACTCCAGCGCACCCTTCCAGTCAAACAAAAACCGTCTGCATTGCACTCTACTCACAGGAATTTCCTCTCCTAAACCCTGCTTGGAATTTAGTTAACACATTATTGCTTTCCAAGTACTCCACTATTTGATCATTTACACATAATTCCAGCAGTTTTTCGTATGGTGGTACCATATTTATGGGTCGAAATTCCTCACACTTAACAGTTCCAAGAACCTTCTCAATTGGTACAACCAGACTTCTCTTCCATTTACTTGGGAATACGCCACTTTCTAAAACTACCATTTATAATATGCAAAATTTTGTCGCCTATTACTTCAAAGGAACTCTTACTTGAATGAACCCTTGCATCCAAAGTCTCAACTTGATTTAAATTTGATGTCGAATGAACTCAAAATCAACATTAAAGGACAAAAAAGCTAATTTTGTAATTTTTAATAATATTAAATTAACAATTCCATAAAATTTAAAAAATATAAAGAACTTTTTCTACTTTTCACTATTGAAATAAGAAAATTATTTTAACTTTGGATCAACAATACATTCAATCTAAATCAACATCAAAATCATTTTCCCAAACTTCCATATCTTCTAAAAGGGATGTACTAATCTGATCCGTGTGAACTATTGGATTACCTAAAGTTTCTTCCTCATTTAATTTATTGAACTCCTCATCATTTGCTTGACATAGAAGATTCACACGGTAAAAATAATTTCTCCAAAAATTTTCTTCTGATATCACTTTAGGTACAAGTTTATAACGTATTTTTTCAAGATTGGGATCTTGGTTCATAACTGCCAATGCTATAGGATAACAAGCTTTGTAATTAAATTGAAAATTAAACCGGGTGGAGGATTACTTAAAAAATGTCTGAGATCGGAAGATAAACTAAGGCAATTTTCTTTTAAAATGTGTTCATTAGGACAGCCCACCCAAGGAGGCAAAGATAAAGCTAAGTCATCTTGCTGATTTTGAATAAATTGGTCCTGTTCCTTATTAAACTCACTTAGTATGTTTTTATATTCAATGGATTCTTTTAATTTTGACACTGTATCTTTTACTATGGCCACTGCAGAGGAAATGGCATTACTAAACACTTCAGGACTAAAAACTAAGGTGTCCACAGAATGATGTTCATTTTGCTTAATAAAAGAGTCAGATTCTGAGTGACTGTTTTGTATAGATGTGGATGACTCTTTGGAAGTGGAGGATGTGCTTTCAGTATTTTTAGTTTGTTCCAAATTTGACACTCCAGTACACTCATTATTTTCGAAAAGATGTGAGTCTACACTTCTAGCATCTTCTGCTGGGATTGTAGAAGTATCTTCTTCATTTTTAAAACTTACAACCCAAGATGAGACTTTATTTATTATATCTCCAAACATTATATTGAAGTAAATGTAAAATGATGTCATACAACTGACAGTAAATATAAAAAACTTTATTATTATATAAATATTTTTCATCAAACACTAGATAAATTGGTTTCCATTTTTAATAAAATCTATTTAAGTATCTTAATCAATTTTTAGAAAATGTAAAAGCGCTGCAGTGGTACTGATCACTTAAATTACTAAAAATTGACAGTATCAATATACAATAAATAATAAAATTCAAATTCGGGGATTCCATGATTTCTGTGATCTTATGTTTTTTTAGAATAGGTTAAGATAATAGATCTGCAGAAGATATGCAGTATAAATAAATAGCAAATACTAGAAAGTAAATCTACCTGAGAGACATGACATACCACCATTAAACTTCAACTAGGGAATACTTTAGTATATGAATTAAATTTGTTATGTGATTAAACCAAGGGCCTATTGCAGTTTACATATGTGGTGAAAATAGACTTTCATTTTAACTGCAACCAAACAAAAAAAAGATACAAACAGTATAAATGTACAGGAAAGAAAACCATTATTGGAAGAATATTTACAAAAATGATAATGAAAAAACACTATTTATTAGATGATATACTTACTAACCATGATTTCCAGCATAAGTAATAGAGTCAATTCCAACCAATTTTTTAACATTCGTTACACCCCTACCCGATATAATAGCTACAAATATTTCTGGAATTTGCGACAATATTTGAAGAACATTTTTTGCTTCCGTAGGAATTATTGCTAGATCTGGATGAGCCACTATAGGTGTTAATGTACCATCATAGTCTAGCAAAATTGCCAGTTTAGAAGAGCCCTTTAAGTATTGCTCCAAATATTGTTCAAAATCTGCAGTAACTTGAGTCATTGTAAAACGCCAAATACTACAGACGTTCAGACTAAATATTTTACACAGAGAACATAATATGAATGCACGATAATAACACTAAAAAAGGCTTAAATACAGATAAGCTGGTGTCAACAAGGTTATCTAATCATATGCAATAATTGTTTTTGTTATTAATTAATGAAATACAAACAAGGTAGAAACTTTATTTAACTTTTGATATTTTACACTTTTTATTTTTTAAAATAGTACAAGAATTTAGTATTTAGTCAATTTTTGAGATTTCAACTTGAAAATATTTTAATGCTATTTATGGATTTCTTGTTTCCCGATTATGACAATGACATTATAGTTCGTGTTCTGTGATCGTGACTTTCCTAACTAAAATGTCAAAAACTAACTTTGACATTTGACAAAATCTGACGTAAGGTGAAGGTGCAAGTTAAGGGCAAGTCTTTTTTCATTGAATTAAATAATTAGTGGAAAAAGATTTAATAACAACCGGTCAAAATGTCCAAATTAGTAGCCCAAATTCCAGTATTGGCCGGAAGTAAGTAGTCTTTAAGATAATACTATTATGTAACTATCCTCTAACCCTACTTCATTATCCTTCCTAATAAATTTTATTATAGGACTTCTACAAGAAGGACGACCAAAGTTTAATACCTTCATGAAATATGCACGAGTAGAATTATCACCTCCGACACCAGCAGACATTCCACAAATCAGAGCTGGTATCGGCAGACTTGTCACAGCAGCAAGAACTGGTTCCTGGAAAAATCAATCTGTAAGAGAGGCTTGGTTGAACACCCTTGTCGGTATTGAAGTTTTATGTTGGTTCTACGTTGGAGAATGCATTGGAAAACGTCACATTGTTGGATATGATGTTTAAATCATATTTAGGTTTATTTAACTTTTGTAGAATACTTTGTTCAATAGATAACTAATTATCGTCTCTGTATTTAGTAATTTTATTTTGTTTCCTTAAAATTAACATGGATTGTTCTGTTCGTAAATGTAGAATTCTTATTTTTTAATATATGCCTGTGTAATAATTCATCACTGTATCTAATGATTTCAACAACTAGAGCAAATTATATAATTATTATTTCATAATTAATGTTATTTAGTAGAACATATTATCTAGTTTATTCTACATATCAAAATAATACGTTTAATACTACCTAATTCTGCATATTCACTATCAAAGAAATTTAAACAAGTTGAAAAACCATTAAATTTTAATCCAAAAGGTGCTATAATAAATTAGCCTAAAATATAACCTAATTAATGACCACTAGACCTGGTATGAGGCTCTAGAATAGGTATCATTCAAAATATACCATAATCCAATTGGCTGCAATAAAAATGGATGGCTTCCAGAAAAATGTTTCAGCACATTTTGTCTATGATCAAACCTAAATATTTTAATACAAAAAAAATACATTCAACAAACTTTATTTATTCTAAAAATGGCACAATGGCAAAGTCTTTTTGCACAAAGTAGAATTCTCATCATAAAACTTTTTTACTCCAGGTGGTTATTATTTTGTGTTCTTATTCTGCCAAGATCATATTTCAACTTAGTTATTGGAACTGTGTACATGTATCTAAGCTGTAAAGTCAGAATAATGGTTTGGTTTGTGAAATGCTATGTTAAATTAATTTGTGCCTTCTATTAATCATATTAAACAACAATATCTTTTAATAAAGTTATATTTTCAAAACAAATTACTCAATAAAAGAACATACTTGCAGGAATCTTTTAAAAATATAATGACTACAATTTACATCAAAAATATTGGGAGGAAAACCAAAGCTCTTATATTTCCATTTTTATGTTTATGAAAACATTAACTGAACTGAGTATTTAACTCATTCATCATCAATATTTTGGCTTTACAACCCTGTGTGGGTCCTAGCCTCCCCAAGAATTCTCTTCCAGTCATCCCTATCTACCGCCTTTCTCTGCCAAGCACATATTTCCATATTTCTCATATCTTGGTCTATGTTATCTAGGAATCTTGTTCTGGGTCTTCCTCTTCTTCTTTGACCAATAGGTCTATCAAGGAGCGTTTTTCTAGCTGGGTCGGTTTGCTCCATCTGCATTACATGGCCTACCCACCTCAGATGTCCTATCTTAATGTGTTTTACTATATCTGGTTCCTGGTATATTCTATAGAGTTCGAAGTTGTATCATCTTCTCCAGACACCATTTTCATTTACCTCTCCATAGATTCTCCTTAGTATTTTTCTTTCGAAACATCCTAACATGTTTTCATCGCTTTTTGTTAAAGTCCAGGTTTCTGAACCATATGTTAGGACTGGGCGTAATATTGTTTTGTATAATAGAGTTTTACTTTTGTATTTCTTGATATAACTGTAGATTTAAAAAGGAGATAAAGCCCAAAATAGCATCTATTAGCCGTGCAAATTCTGTGGTAGTGCCATTTTCAGTATTGACGAGCGTTCCCAGGTATACAAATTCGTTAACTGCTTCGATGACGTCGTTTTACGTCATCGAAGCAGTTAACGCAGCACGTCGTTACGTACGTCTCGCGTGCTGCGTTTTTCCGTTCTCCCAACAATATTGATATCATCAGCATATGCTAGGATTTGCACAGATTTGTTATATATTGAACCAGTAGTTGTGATGTATGTATTACTTTTTCCAGACCTAGATTGAATAGTATACAGGAGAGTGGGTCTCCGTGACGTAGCCCGTTATTTGTATTAAAAGGTTTAGAGAGTTCCCCCTGGATTCGTACTCTGCATTGAACTTTTTCCAGGGTTAGTTTGGTTAGACTTACCAACTGATTTGGTACTCCTAGGTCTATCATTGCTCTAAACAATTCTCTTCTATTTACAGAGTCGTAGGCTGCCTTGTAATCTATAAATATGTGGTGCGTGTCTACACCATATTCCAGTGTTTTCTCTAGATTTTGTCTCAGGGTTGAAATATGATGAATTATTGATTTACCACCTCTGAAACCAGCCTGGTATTGTCCTATTATTCGCTCTGCATACGGTGCCATACGATGGCATAGTATATTGGAGAATATTTTCTACGCTGCATTTAGGAGCGTAATTCCTCGATAGTTAGAGTTATCTAACTGATGAGTGCTACTGACTCAATATCTTCCTTTATCGTGTTCCAGTAGGAGTCTATATCTCTCTGGTCTTCTTCGCTTGGACTTTGATTTCTTAACATATTGGTAATATTTTCCCAGTACTGTTTTGCAGCAATTGCATCTCTCAGCTTTTGTACATTCCATTTCTTTGTATCTATTTTTTTTCTTTGTTGGAATTTGAAATTCTAGCCCTTAGTGTTGAGATCACTAAACAGTGGTCTGAGTCTATGTTTGCGTTCTATAACTACTGCGCTATCAAATCTTGAGGTGTAATACCATTGTGCCAAGGGTATGCGTGATAGAGCAGAATAGTGCCTTAAGTAGTGACCCAGAGGACTGGCGACTCTGGGTGTTTATAGCCTTATCATGGTAAGGGCGTACTGCCCTTGTGACACTATTACTTCCCAATTCGTGGGAACAAAATGGGCAAGAACAAAAAGATATAAATGACTGTTATAGCTTATAAATAAAAAATCACCTGAATGATCAAAGAGAGACACCAGTCAAGGACTCTGTCTGCGCTTCAAATATTGAACTAGAAGGTGTCCTGGGAGGAACATATTTTTTAGTCAATTACTAAAAAATTTCTACCTAGAACTCAGAAGAGAAAGATCAAGAAAGGGGCTAATGGGACATGGACCAAAGAAAAACCACAAAAAAAGTGTCCTAATTGGTAAAACTTAAAGGCAAAAAAGACCTCAAGTAAATAACATAACTAGACTTGGGCAAATATGCAAAAAAAGTGAAAAATATGTGCATAAACACTAATTTACCCAAAAATAAGGATGGAACTCATAAAATAAAAACAAATTAAAAATTAATTATTAATTAATATGTAGTCCTAAATATGGAATGGGAATAAGAGGTAGACAATTGAAACCTTTCCCATTTTTTAAACAATAAAACAGACTCATGTATTCTGTAAACTATTTATGTATAATGTTTATTATTATAGTACAGTAAAGTACATGAGTACATACTTATATATTCAATTTTTTTGGTAATCCTGAAAGAAGAAATTTCTAACCTATCTTAAAACACAAAACATGTCAGAAAAAAGTTTTAAAATTTAACATAATATCAAATGAAATAATATTTAAATTTTTATATGGTCTGTTAAAATTAAAAATGATATTTATAGTTAAAGTGGCAAAAACCGTTAGAAATCATTGGAAAAAATCAATATTTTTCACAGGGGTACTCACTTATGGAGTAATATTCACCAAAAATTATCTACAGTAAGTTTAATTTTTATGTAATAATATATAATTTTATTATAGCAATTATATATACCGTTTATATTTTTTAGGACACAAGATTTAATGAGAAGTTATTGTCAAAGAGCGGCTAAATACGGCAAAGAACCAATATCTATAAATGATAAACCTAGACATATAACTGTAATTCTTAACCCCAATGCAAATAAACGTAAATCAGTCGATGAATTTGAAAAATACTGTGCCCCTCTTTTGCATTTAGCGGGTATATCTATTGAAGTGAAAAAGACTGAATCAGAAGGGCATGCTAAAACATTAATAGAAGAAATTGGTGGTACAGATGCCATTGTCATTGCTGGGGGTGATGGTACCTTATCAGAAGTAGTAACAGGATTATTGAGAAAAACAAATGACAATGCTAGTAACATTCCATTGGGTAAGAATTTAGTGAAAGACTATATTTGTGGTACTAAATTATACTTTTAGGTGTATTACCACTTGGCAAAACAAATACGGTAGCTACAGTTAAGTTTCCTGGTAAAACAAAGGTGGAAAGGGTTAAAGCATTAGCTGAAGCTGCGATGGCTGTAATAGAGGATACTTTCAAACCCATAGATGTTATGAAAATTGAAGTTCTCTCTAGTGAAATACCAGAGCAGTCAAATAAACCCATTTATGCAGTAGGTTCCTTGAAATGGGGAGCATATAGAGATGCTAAAGCAAATAAAGACAGTTACTGGTACTTTGGACCATTCAGGAATTATGCTACCTATATTTTTAATGGGTATGGTTATATAGCAAATATAAGTATAACAATCTTCTCTGCATTAGATTCCTTACCCTACTTTTTTTAATTCCTAATTTGCTGTTTATATTTTAGGTTTAAAAATAAACTCTCATGGAACTGTGAGGCTCTAATTAGTTACAGTGCTCCTTGTGAAGGTTGTTCTAATTGCTACAGAAGATCTGAAAATGTATCAAAAAATGGGGGATTTTTCTCTAGGTGAGCATAGATATTATAATAATACCACAATTGGCATTACTATGATTGCACCCACAGTTGGTATTTAATTGAACTCTTCTAAATGTTAAACTGTGAATAAATTCAGTTTGCTTGCATTAATGCATAGTACCATTTTTTTAATAGAGAAAACTGGTTTTCACAGACATACTTCACAAACAACTGTTTTTTTAACAGTGTTTATTTGGTGATATTTCCACAACACAAATGCATCATTCTTTGAGGGGTAGTTATTTTGAAAAAATGTGTTGTTTGCATCAAAGGAATGGCACATATTTGACTCAAAATAGGTAAAAGAGGGGACATGCTGCAATTGGGTGGAAAAGAGGTTTCCATGCTAAAATTGAATAACAATTGATGCATCTTCATTGTGTATTATGATGACAGTTGGTGACGCATTAGTCAACATTTCCCAGATCACATTACAAAACTTTTCTGTGCCCAGAACTGCAACATATTTGCAATGAGCAAATTTTAGCAAGTTTTATTAACAAACTGATAAAATAGTAATTGGAAGTTTTTTAAGGCCAGTTATTGTAAACATTTCATTAAACAGTTCAAATAATAAGCCCTACAATTTATTCGTTTTATTATGTCAATGTCACTTCTGTGATCTGGAGCCATCAGAAAAATGAAAATTCTTCAATTTAATGACCTTGATGCCCTCCCAAGATCAGATACATCATGGAAATGTGTAACAAGAAACATATTAAAACAGACATATAGTTCACTAAAAAGTAATGCACAGGCACATTTATTTGAACAATAACTTCAATCATCACCCTAAACAAAATAGAGGAGTAAACAAAAGAGACAAATTGAAACATTTGTAGAAAAAAACATTGTGGTATAGATGGTTAAGAGACATCAAGCAGTGTAAAATACAAAAAGAGCCATGAGGTAAAAGTTTCTTAACATATATTAAAAAACACTACAGATTAAATTGGCAAATTATTAGCGAAACATTATACTTCCATTTTCAAACCACTGAAGCTGATTCAAGAAGATCTAATATTGGCTAGAGGGTCCAAGGGAACCGTTTTATTCGGAAATTCCCTGTATTTACTTGAATAGACAATCAATGAATCAAAAAGCAACATTCATCAATTATTTTTTGTAGGAAAACTAATTGCACTATATCCTACAAATTATAAACAAAATATACCATTACAAAACACAGACAGTAAAACTTATATTGATTGAAATCCTTCAATTACCAATAGAAATATATTGGAGAAGAAATTATATTATTTCAGTTAAATTCAGACTTTCTAAGCCAGGATTTATCATGTGAGCTATTAAAACTCGCTATTAAAATTTTTTTATATAAATATTAACATTAGACGAATATGTAGCATAGGTTACTTTAAAAAGTCTCTTTAAACATTTGGTTTTACATGACTCCCTTTTTATGCAGGCTTGGTCTTATTGCAGACAGCTTTGATCAGGCACAGATAATGCTCCAAGAACTCCATACTGCCACAAAAAGATGTGGTCTTAAAATAAATTTTTCAAAAACACAATTTATGACAAATTTAGTCTGCAACAAAAACATCTCAGTAGAAGACAAAGATATTGAGCCAGTTGACTCCTATAAATACTTGGGCCATGAGATCAGAATAAGTCTAGACAACCAACCAAAGAATAAACCTCGCTTGGGCTGCATTTGGAAAGATGAAGAATATTTTTAGGTCTAAGATTCCAATGTGTCTGAAAAGAAAAGTATTTAATCAGTGTATTTTGCCAGTGATTACCTACAGCGCAGAAAGCTAACACTCACAAGAACAACAGTGAGTAAACTACAAGTTGCGGAAAGGGCAATGGAGAGAATAATGTTAGGGATTTCTCTATGTGATAGAATACCCAATGCTACTATACACAAAAGATCAGGAGTATCAGATGTTATTGAAAGTATAACAACACTAAAGTGGCACTGGGCAGGTCATGTAGCAAGATCAGTTGATGACCAGTGGACAAATAGAGGTCGACCCACAACGAGATGGACAGATGACATAAAAAGAGTGACTACAAATTGGATTCAGATGGCGCAATATCGGACTAAGAGGAAAAGCATGCTACATGTCTATATTCAGCAGTGGACGTTAGAGGCTAGTTGATGATGATAATGATTAGTCTTATAGCAGCCTGTGAAAAAAAAATTGGTAGCATTAAATGGATTAATTAAATATTGTTTAAATATGTTTCTTGTTATTTATAGTAATATGTTTAATATTTATTTCAGGTTTGTAAAATCAGAAAATCCTTATGCAAAGTATTTATCAATTGAAAATCCCGAATGTTCTATAACCCATGAGAAAAAAATTTACACCTCTGATCTTGAACTATCGACTCTAAATGTGATACAAGGATCATCTTCAGAAACTCCATCCAAATTGGTAGTTGAAATTGGACCAGATAATGTAGAATACCTTGATTTTGTAAAAAATGGATTTAAATTAGAAAAAGGTGAGAAGAAAGATGTTAGAGAATTTATAGAAGCAAGAACAGTTAATATAAATCCAGAAATAAAGGCACAGGAGGCTTGGTTTTCAATTGATAATGAAAACTATGAAGTTAAACCTATTAAAGTAACATTGTTACCAAAAATTGTTAATATGTTCTATAAAAAGGAAAATGTAAATGTTTATAATTAAAATTATATATTGTTACAATTTTCTGGTTGTATTTTTGCATCTATAAGTAAAGGATTTAGTTATCTTCGACAAGAGTTTATGATTAAGTGCATAGTTCAAGAAAATTTCAAATTTGACTACTAATCCATGGAATTATAAAAAAATTGAGCAAAGTCTGGGATCTACCTTTGGATAAATATATGACAAACTTTTTCGCAAATTGCAATCTAATGTTTGAATTTGTCTTATGTTATAAAATATGACAGAATCATACACAACATAAATTTACTACTACCAGCTATTCATTTAGATTGATAATGATAATATATTATTGTAAGATTGTAACACATCATTGAATTGACATAATCAAGTGAATTAATGATTTAAGGTTATCGAAAATCCACTTTCACTGCACATAACATGGTTCTGCATTTAATTGGTTTTAAGTTATAATAATTTACTACTTCAGTGTAAGATGGTCTAATTTGGAAACACTAATAGTGTTTCTAATTTGGAGAGCACATAGCTAAATAATTTTACTTTACTAAAATCAGCATAATGTTTGGGATAGTGTCTTGTTGAGTTTGAAGTTAATTAAGGCCAATGATAATCAGTAGAATGTTCACATACTAAACAACAAAATTTTATTACTAATTGTAATCAATAATTTTATAGATAACATCCAACTAATGCTAAATTATTACACATCTATCTATATAAGATTTTTACAGCTGTAGCCGCCTTCCTTCTTTCAGCCAATGTCTCCAGTTCTTTCTGTTCTGCCATTCTCCATCTCTAAGGTCTCGTCTTTCTATGGCCTCATCCCCGTCATCCCTCCATGATCTTCAGGGTCTACCTCTTTTCCTCCTTCCTATTGGGCTCCAATCCGAAATATTTGCTATCCACCTTGTATGATCTGTTCTTCTCACATGTCCATACCAAATTAAATGTTTTTCTTTGATGTAGCTGAGTATGGCTTGTTCTACTGCCATTCTTCGTTTTATCTCCTCATTTCTGATGCGATCTATTTTTGTCACTCTGCAGCTTCTTCTCATGAACTCCATTTTGTTTAGTTTATTTATTACCCAATTCTCTGCTCCATAGGTCATTATACTGCGTACCAAGGTGTTATAAATTCTCTTCTTTGTATTTCTGGTAATCTGTCTTATCCCACAGTACCCCGTTCATTTTTTAATACATGTTCCTGTCTGTGCTAATCTGCTGGTTATCTCTTGCTCGGTGGTTCTATTTTTTAAGAGTATGAATCCTAAATATTTGAATTTTTCAGTGCCGGCACTGAAAAATTATTACACATACAATATGTAAATAATATTGAGTGCAGCTGGCTTCCACACCATGTAAAATGAGTCTAGAAACCCCAACGGGTGACCATGGAATGTCAGTGGTCACAGATGATATTACACTGCTGTGTAATATATAAGATTAAGCTGATGATAAATAAGCCAGTAAGATAGGCAATATGTTTTCTAATGGATATCACACTTGTTGATCCTAATTAAATAAAAACACAAACATAACATAAAACTTTTTATTCTTAACCTACTGATTTGTATCACATTTTTCTCTATCTTGAATGGCGATAGGAAGGCGGTCTCCCCATTTACATGCTCTAGAACACTGATACATTGTCTTACCATGCTTAGCAGCTGTAAAAATGATTTCTTGAAGTTGTCCATTATTTGTACATATCCTACAAATTGTGTGTTTTGATCTTTTTAAAGTTGGTCTTACTATTCTAGGCCACCTTTCTTCAGCATGGTCTTCAACTTTACCTTTTTGTAATACTACATATGAATAAAGGTCTGATTTTACTTCTGAATGGCCAGCCAAAGGAAGTGAATGATAAGACACCTCAAAGTTACATGGGGTTCCATCATCTAATAAAAATCTAGGACACAGCATGTCATGTGAGCAAGGACTGAAAACTGTACACTTATGACCTTCTTTATCAATTTGAAGTAAAAAGTCCCTTAGTTCATTTACCATTTAAAGCCTGCATTACTACCTTGCTCAACTATAACTAAATATTTTGCAGTCTTATTCCATAAATTTAATATTGTCTCTAACCTACTTTCTGAAGATGGAAGTTCAAACATTGAAAATGATGATACTACTAAATCATAATTTAATGGAGTAGCAGGTAAAAACTGTCTATAAAATACACCTTTTAATGGCATCGCTGGAGTGCCATGTCCACCTTGCAATAATATTTGAGCTAAATCATTCATATCCCTAGAAGTATCTACATTAAAATATTCAAGAATATATTTCTTCCAAAATAAATTAGCAGCCCAAGTAACTGTACCTACACCAGATCCATAGTCAAAAATACTTTTTGGCCTGAAACTTGGATCACGAGCTTCGATTTCACCAAATATTTTCACTAACACTGCATATTCAGCAGCTGATCTTCCTATTAAATATAACAATGAGTTGTGAATATCATATTTTATTGGCTTCCAATTATACAACTGTTTATTTATTTTTCTTTGAATTTCATTTTCAATCATATGTTTAAAATTCATTTCCTCTTCAACTGTTGTAAATTCAGCTTTTTTATGTTTTGATAAAACTTTCTCTTGGATATGGGATACCTTTTCTCTCAGATCTACTTTTTCTATGGGAGCTACTCGGCCTTTTAGATGTCTTTTTAATTTCTCACTAGGTTCAATTAAACCTTTTACTGGATAATCTGCCAATACATTAATGACCGCTTTTATAAAAGTTTCTGGTAGTAATACAGTTCTTGGAAGATTGACCCCTGGATGTTTCTTATATTTATAAAGATTGTTATCAATATCGCTAATAACATTACTATTTGGTATTACTAATGGTCTTGCATTAGTAGAATATCTTCTAAAAAAATGACGAATAGAGTAATTCATTTTTAATTTATATCCATTACACAGTGTTATTGAGAAATTATTTCTTGGTTATATCGTTCTTCTTTTTAAAAATAGAAAAATACTTTTTCTTGTCCGATAATGCGAAGCCACTAATATTGCACGATTGTTCTTCAAATACACCGTGAAAAAGGTTTGGCCGGACTAAAGCTAATTACATATTATAAAAGTTAATTACAAAATACGTTATAGCACAGCCTCCGTAACCGGTTAAAATAAAGACGCCATGGTTAAATTAAAGTGAATTTGAAATAAACTTTAAGTAACACTTGCTAATAAATGCCTAAACATTGCCTGACTCTGACTTGACTTTTACATTCAAGGTTAGATAAACCGTCATTTATAAACATTGTAAATATTTTCCCGCTAAGAATACATTATATTATTAAAAAAGTGTAATTTTTGTTAAGTATAAATATGCCAATAAACAACGTGCAAGCCCTTATAAATCAGCAAACTGGATTTTGTAAGTATTTTCTCCACTTAACTAAAGTTTATGACTATGATATATTTGGAATATAAATTTATTAGAACACCTGCATTATATATAGGTACTTATTTTTTAAGTTACTATTATGTCATAATGTATTAGTTAACTTAATATATACATTGTAGTAGTAGTTGTATACACAAAGCTACAATATATGTTTCCAGTGAATCTCTATGAAATTAACTTTTTCAATCCTTCACCCTTTAGCTATTTATTTTAGATCTGTTTCTTGTGTCACTGACCCTTAGTAAATTTTTAGTATCCTGGAGACAATGTGATGCACCTATCAAGAGATTGAGATGTACAAAAGAAAATTCATATTCTCAATTACTTCCCTCAAGAGGCCAGGATGACTTGTTTAAAGACACACCAATATTTACTTGTAAATTTTCTCCTAATGCAAATAATGAACATATACTAGCTTTAGCCAATGAAGATGGAAAATTAGTGATCCATGACAGTTCAAATAATTCAAGGTAAGTTGGTGTTTAAAGAACAAATTGTTTAATTTTTGTAACTCATGAAATAAACAATGCAATGGTCTCCTTAAATTAGGTTTTTTTTCATAGACATATAATACAAGATAGACTGATCATTGCAATACCAGCCTGTTCCCCCAGTCTGATACAGAAAACTGATGCAAAGCAGTCCCTGCATCTCTTCTAATCTGCTATGTTTATCAATGACATGACGTAAATGACTAATGAGAGTGTTCGATGAACCTGGCCCATTAGTTAGAGATGTAGGGACTGCTTTATGTCAGTTTTCTGTCACCCAGGGGCATGTGACTCTATTGCAGCAGACAGTTTTGGATTGTGATCTTTTTCACACTTAATTGTATTTTCTATCAGATAAATATACCTGCGCTTAATATGTATATATAATTTATTGCTAATTATTTAATACTGTTTAGTGTTTGGTATAATTGTTCATCATAAAGAGCACTGTTTAGATTAAATGTGAGAAGTGAACTAGGGTGCTCTTTTAGTTCACTAGTTCATTAACACAGTTTACAGAGATTAATTTACATATGAGCAAAGCATAATATTGTTTTATCGTTTGTGCATAAGAAGTTTATTTTTGATGATGCCGATTTTAATTTAAATTAACTTTAAGTCAGCTCTGGCTAATTATTTCATTTTTTTAAGTATTGGGGTCGGTTCTTTGAAATAATTCTCATATAAATTACACAAGTCTAATACTGTTACTTTGTTTATAATATTGTAATTTTAATTTTAGGTATGGAGCTTATGCCCACAACAATGCAATTTTCGATTTAGCCTGGATGTTTGATAAAATGAAACTAGTCACAGCCTCGGGAGACCACACCTCAAAAATGTATGACATAGGTGAAGGTGAAATGAGACAAGAGAGGGTCTTCTGTGGACATTCAAGATCTGTAAAAACCATAGCATTTAGAAAAGATGACTCCAGTGTATTTGCAACTGGTGGAAGAGATGGAAATATTATTTTGTGGGATACAAGAACAAGCACTAATAGTTTTGTGGGTAAAGCAGATGGGATAATTAATAATTCTCATGTTGCTAAAGTTTTTACTCCTAGCAAATCTAGAAAAAAGTTTAATACACCTACTAATGCAGGCATAAAATCAGTAACTGGTCTAGTCTTTCAAGAAAATAATACATTGATTTCATGTGGAGCTGGAGATGGTATAATAAAAATTTGGGATTTAAGAAAACATTATAGCAATTACAAAAAAGAAGCCCTTCCTAAAGTTCTTATACCATATCCTGGCAGTACCACAAAGAATGGATACAGTAGTCTTATTATAGATAATGATGGAGTTAAATTATATGCAAACTGCTTAGATAATACCATATATTGTTATAATGTAGGAACATATAGTAATAAACCTGTAATAGAATATACAGGACATCAAAATAGTACTTTCTATGTAAAATCATGTCTATCAAAGAATGGAGAATATCTTATAAGTGGCAGTAGTGACGAAAATGCATATATATGGAACACAAAAATGTCAGAACCCATAGTCAAACTTACTGGACACACAGCTGAAGTCACATGTGTGGCTTTGTGCACTCAAAATATGGTTGCTGTAACTTGTTCTGATGACATGACACATAAAATATGGACAGTAGGGTTAGCAGAACCCCCTGATGACTGGAATATAAATGGTAGAGGAAGTGCTGAAATTTTACCAATATCTAATAACACATACAAATTAAAAAGAAGTTCAAATTTGAATATAGATTTCACCCCAAAAAAAGTGTTTACTGAATGTCAAAAATGTAATAATGCTACCTCGCAAAGTTCTGTGAAAACTGCAGTTATAAATTGTCAAAAAGGAAAAATTCATGTGAATTGGAAAGTGCAAATAAAATATTTCAAACTGAATTTGGACCTAGAAGATTATTTGCTAATATTAACAACCCATTACTAGCTGAAAAAAATGACTGTTTAGCAACTATCTTAGATACTGAAGCAATATCAATGCCTTTAGATGATTATGAACCTCCCAGGAAGATACCTAAATACATAGATACTAAAGAAGAAAATGAACCTACTGCTACAACTATGGATGAATGCTCATCTGAGTATGATGATGAACCTCCTATAAAACTATCAAAATTGGAAATAACTCCTTCAAGAGGAAAGAAACCTGACATTTCCTCACCAACAATAAATTTGCCTAATTATGTAGTTGATGGTGTAGCTCCACATTTAACATATTCACCTCCAAAGAAGAAATGCCAGGATTGGTTAACTAGGATTAGAATTGAGAAAATGTTAAGAAAAGAATATGAAAAGACTGAAGGTGCTACCACACCTAAACAAACAAAGCCAGAGGTATTGCTTAGAAGGAAATATGTTGCACCTAGAAGCCCAATTTTAAAGTATTTTAAGGTAACTAACAGCCCACATAAATGTGATGGAAGCTGTACAAAACACCAAAACAATATGTCAAGTTTTAACACTGAATTAGAAACAAAATGAACATTGGTTTCAGTTCTTAAGGTTGATAATGTGCATTCCTGTTGGCAAAATATCATGAATCTACTTGAAATTGACATTAACTATTCATTTAACACTTTTAAATGATCAATTCGTTGTTGTTCAGTTTGATTTATAGAAGATATTTTATTATATTTTAATTTGTAAAAATTTATTTGTGTAAAATGCTGTTTTATATAAATACACATACTGTATATATGCCTTTTGTTTGTACTTGATTCACAAATTTATTTTTTACCCTTTCAGGTTATATTGGATTGTCCAGCCTTATTTCCTATTGATATGATATTCCTATCCTAACATGATATTTTAAGATGCTCCTTTATTTCAAGACTTTAAAAGACCAGTACTTGATGAGGAAGCTTTTGAACCTGGATTTCAAAGCTTTCTAGACGCCATAAATGACTTTCAAAAAGTCATTTAATTAATATATATGTATTAAGCTAAGACAAATAACGAATTCAGTATGTGGTAGATTGCATTGAACATGTCACATCCTGTGTTTAGTGTATCCCCAAGGTGTGTGTATATTTGATAGCCCAATCACAATAAAAATAATATTATTCTGACTGGATTGTACATAGACACAAGTGAACCAGAAAAGCTGCAACAAATAGTATGTAACTTTAAGGAAGAACGGAAAATAGAAAATTTATTAACTAATAATTGATAGAGAAGTATGAAAATGAGCAAAGCAAACAAAAAAACTAGTTACAAAGCGTTTAGTAGAGGAATCTGGGGATGAGGCACAGACAACAATCAGGCTATAAAAAAGTAAACTAGAAGAGGTAAATTCAATAAGCTTGTAAAAGAGAGGATAAAAAATATTGAGAAAAAAGTGGAAAAGTGAATGTGAAACGTAAAAAAAGCGTTTAAAAGGCATAACGATTTTATGAAAAAAATTATATAAAAGCAGCTCTTCCCTTGTCTGGAACACTAATCCTTGCTGTTGTACACATCTTTTTAACATATCCCAAACGTGCTCGATGGGATTCACGTCAGGTGAGCAGGCCAGGACAATACCTGAATACTGTTCTGCTCTAAAAAATTTCTCACGATTCATACAACGTGCGGACGCTCAAGGTCATGCAATAGCACAAAATTTTCTCCAAATTGTGCAACATGTAGAACAGTAGGTTCAAGAATATGATCTCGATATTCATTTGCTGTTAAAAATCCTTGCTTGCTGTTAAATAATATGAACAATTCAGTTCAACAAACCTATTGTCTGCTCAAAAACTACAACATGCAAAGCATGCAAACAAAATTCTCCATCAACATGTAAACTTCTCTTGATCTCGATCATTTGCTAAATCTTTGAACAAGTCAGTTCAATAACCTATTCAGCTTCCTGTTCTGCTTCCGTCACACCCTCGATCTTCGTGAGTCGGATCGTAAAAAAAACCTGGATTCATTTGTGAAAAGAATGTTTGCCTGTTCTCGTTCTTGTCAAATTTGATGTTCTTTGCTCTAATCTAAGCTCCTTGTGCGATTCCCACGGGATAATACTGCATAATGGGATGTCTAGCGTGAAGATTACCCTCACGCAACCTATTCCTGATAGTTTGAGTAGAGACATTAATGCCATGAATGTTTTGAAGCTCGCTTCTTAGCTGGCTAGCAGTAACATTGGGGTTCCCTAATGCCTGAAGGCAATTAGGTCCTTGTTGGACCAGTGTGTCTTTCCCTTACATCACCAGTTTCTTAAAAACGCTGCCATAATCGTTCTATAGTACTGTTGGTAGAATGCACAGCTTCTGCCAAGTCGCGGATGTTCATACCACCCTGTGTCATACCAACAGCTCGTAGCTGTGTTTCACGATCAAGACAAATTGCATATTAACTTAGTTAAACCACAATAACAACAAATTTTATCTAGACTTACAGCAACAATTGTACTGAATATACTTTTAAGTTGAATAGATAAACTTCAAAAAATTTGCCTTTTTTAAGATCAACAAAAATACAAACTGATATAGTAAATTGTGATATGTCCAACCAATAACAATTTTATTTTAACGGAAAAATATTGCTTCTTGAAAGTAAACGACTTTTATTTCTTGTTCCCTAGACCATTTTGATGTGTATATAATAGGATACATTCTATTCTCAATAATTGTAGCAAGTAACTTCTTGTCACTGTTAAACGCAACACCAGGCAGTTTTTAAACGCATTTTAATATACAGATTACGATTATTTTATTGACTATACAACACGTATATGACATATTACACGTTTCCACCTTTATATTTATTTCACAGTAGGTACAAATTGTCGTAATTGTTACATTGAAATTAAAAGTTTCAAACTTAGTTGTGAAAGAATAAACAAATAATAATAAAATGCCTATTACGTTGTGTACCGTCCAAGAAAAAGTGCAACTTGTAACATGGTACTTTCAGGGTCATTCGATACGCGAAGTAATTGATTTATTTATTGTTGTCTTCGAAAATAGACCCCCCACCAAGTGTTACAACAGTTAAAAATACCATTAAATATTTTCAAACTTCGGGATGTGTAAACAGTTGTAAAAAGTGTCATGAAGGTAATGAACCAGGTAATGTGTAAGGTAATGAAAACAGGGATATTGATATTTGTGCTTTTGTGGAAGCTAGTGAACCTGCACATCGAGCAAAAAGATAAAAGAGGGAATCAATCGTTAGGAAAAGGAGACCAAAAAAGTCCTCTGATGGCGGATATCCGAAATGCAAAGGCGCTAAATTTAAATTTCCAACACTTATTAACAATAGCTATAAAATATTTTAGACGAGAAAGTTTAATTAAAATAACTGCAATACCTAAAAAGTGACACAATTTGGTAAAAGATTTCATATAAATAAAATTTCATGTGACAGTTGGGACAAACTATAACATAACCTAACTAAATTGACTTCTTAAACAAGGAAAGAGACTGTTTTCCTTGTTTAAAGTGGCTCTCAGATAGCACTTCCTGTCTAACAATATTTTTGTCCCCACTACCTTTACATTCCCTCTTTTATCTTTTTGCTCGAACCCTGCAATAGTGTACAAATTGTTAAGGAAGTTAACGTGAATGCTCGAACTGTCCAGAGAGTTCTCAATATGAATCATTTTTATTAAATAAAAAACAATCCATCCGTCGCAAGGTATTATTTTCGAAAAATAAGTACCTCAGTGTTGGAGTGCGAACGCAGCATCCGCAAAAGTTAAATGTCTGGAGTGGGATGTTACGCGACCATATTGTCGGTCCATTTTTTATCGATGGAAACCTAAATGAGCCCAAATATTTACAACTTTTACAGAATGAGATCATTTCGGCAGATCGACGCCTTCCCGTTAATTTTCAGAAGGTTTATTCCAACAGGATGGGTGTTCGGCTCACAACTATAGAGCAACTATTGACGTTCTCAATCAAACGTTTTCTGATCGACTGATAAGTACACGTGGTACAATTAAATGGGCCGCTAGATCCTGTGACTTAGCGCCTAATGATTTCTTATTTTATTTACAGGCATCAGTTTGAAAGGGCCACAAACCTAGTCGAATTAAGGGCAAAAATACTTTATTTCTCTGCAAGCATTACACCAGCCTTACTCCAAAATATGAGGAGAACTTTGTATGACAGATTTGGTTACTGTTTAGCATAAGGAGGTGGAATATTTGAGCCCTTAATTCATTACTCTGCTTTCCCAATTTTTATTTTTTGTTAGGTACATTTTATGAAGTTTGTAGGTTCTTAATTAGGTAGTATTTTTTATGTTTAAGTTTGGAAGAATTTCATTGTTTTTTTTTTGTTTAAAATTATAAACGATTCTTATTCTGATTTTTTCTTCTTTCTTTTAGAGCGTTATAATAAATATACTCTAGAGACGGGATTGCAATAAATCTTAATTCCTATGGTCAACAAAACAATGTTGTTTTGTATAAAACTTAAGAGGTCGCTGGTTAAATGATATTAGATAAATAATTATAAATAAAAAATGCAATCTTTTGTTTGTAAATAAACTAGTGGAAAATAGCAACTATCAATTGTGAATAAATTACGAAATTAACTAGCCATAATCATTATTGTTGTTTGTACAAAGAATATAGACTTACCCTTTGGTATATTCTGATGTATTCGGAGCCCATGTGTAGCTTTGGACCGTCGCGACGTAGGGAACGTCCGGCGTCAGGGCTCGAACCGATCACTGGTTGTGTTTCGTTCGCTGTCTTATGTTGAAGTGAAAAAAAAACCCTCTCGCCACACTTCGAAGCGGTTGATAGGAAGAGGGTATATCAATAAATCACTCTATTGTATTGTGATTTTGAATGCGATAATTTAAGCTAATTGTCACGGTAATAAGAAACTTTACACTTGTGTGTATATTTTTGACCCAAAATACAAAAGAGAAGCCAAATTCTTCGTACTTAAAACATAATAAATGAGATAGCCAGTAAGAATTTTATGAAATAAAAGGAAGTAATATATTTAAAAAAAGTCGTTAGAATACAGCATTGAATTAGATCACATTACAGTACCGTAACAGAAAAATATTAAATGTAAAAATATGAAACAAAATAATGTAAGTAATGTAATGTAATGTAACATGTAAGTTAGTTTGAAAAATGACAAAACTATTCAATCTAAACGTATTGGCAATTGTGGATTTAACTAGGCAAAATTGAACACCTCCTACAGACGGTTATATTGGTTAGAGGGTTAAGTAAAAGACAAAGACTTTGAAATATATACAATTTATTTTCAACCCTTAAGTATTCAAACAGACAAAATTCATGAATACATGATTGAAATTAGGACAAGATATATTATTACTTATATTACAATAAAATAAAATATAGTCTACATTGTAATAAAGTGGAAACAATATGAAATGATTTTAATGGCAAATTAAAAGCAATAAACAATGTGGGATGCAAAAGTATTGCAGATTTTTTTATCACAATATTTCAATATCAGAAATGCCATTTAATATTTTTGCGTAATAAAATAATATGTCAATATTTTAATATAAATGTTGGATAGTTACATTATTTCAAGATTTGCTGTACTAAAATATTTTTAGATAAAGAAATTCATTGA